GCTTGGACGTGACTCGCATCAGTGACTCAGCTCTTGGAAACAGAGCGCTCTCGGTCTTAACTAAATGCCCCTTCAACAGCAGTCCAGTAATTTATGCAAAGTTTGACTTTGCAGAAACACGTGACCGTCAGCATCATTACTCTGGATTACAGCTACAATGATGAGGCAGCATGGCAGCAGGCACTTGGGCCAAAACACCAGTGACATCACCAACGAATCCATCACCACAATAAGGAGCCATTGTCGTGTGTTCAGTGTGAAGCTTTCTTCAATGCGGCAACAACATCTGGTTCCCAACAGACGGTTTAGCAGCCAGGCTCAATCAGACAACACAACGTGTGCAGCTGTCACAGTGATCCATAATAATAATGATAACATGAAACCACCACACCTTAGTCCCTTAAACAGTTAAGTGAAGTCACAGGACTATAAGTAAGTAAGCTACAATGTGTCCAGTTGTAAGGAAGATACCTGACGCCGACTTGTTGAGGCTACCCCAGAAAAATATTCACATGTTTATAATTCAAAATAACTGTGTTTGCCCTGGCCTGGAGATAATGTCAAACACACACAAAAAAGAAAATGAAACAAAAATCAAGTGGGAAGAAAGTGGAACCTGTTAATCCATCAGCCCACCAGTAGCAGACAGAACCAGGCTACTGGGAGCTCTGGGAGAAAAGCTGAGGTTCTGATTCTTTCCCACACAGCAGACACATACTGTACATACACACTGATGCAATGCTAACACTTCTGAGCTAGCCACGCTCTCAGAACGTTCATGTTAGTGATATGGTTCAAACTGGGCCGAAACAAACGTCTGACCAGCAATGAAGGTTAGTGCGAGTCGATGTGTTTCCTCTGTTTTGTTTTGGGGGGGTTTTGGCCTTCAGTTACGCCATGTAAACTTTGAGCTGCAATGATTGTGGGGCATATTCGAAGCACCTACTAGCCACGTGATCAAGGTTTGGCTTTGGTCAACACAACACCAACAGTAGCCAGCAAATACCAGCAAGGCAGGGAGTGTAAGTAAAGCGTAGAAACTTCATCAGCCCGTGGGTCCTTGACATTTTGGCTGAACGTGCTGTCAGAATACTGAATCATCTCGCCTCCTTTACACAGCCCAGGTCTTCTTCTGCTGGAAGTAGGCGTCAAACCTGGCCTGTGCGTACTCCTACAACACAGGTAAGCACAAATGAATATGTGGGA